CCGGAGGTAGTAATAGCATTTGATAATGTAACTACTTTATTTCTAAATAAAATATGACATGATCGCTGAATTGTTACTTAAGTTTTTTAAACAGTAAGTTATTATACAGTTTTTTTGACAATAATTTAATGCAGACTTTCTAAAAAGAATTTTTGCATTAGTTTTGCTTATGAATTTGATTATAGGAAAAGCATCATATCTCTTCGCCAAGGCAAATACTTAACTAAAAAAGAAAAGAATTGGGGATACCGAAACCTATGCGTGGAAGAGCCTATTAATACAGAGAGAAATCTTGGAAATAGTATGACATATGATTGTTTCAAAAAAACTAAGAGAAGAGCTTTACAGGGCTTTTGCTATTTTAAACAAAAGTTCGAATCTCAAACACTGTTGTCTAAGTTATAAACTTAACGAAATTTATTATATGTGCGAACAAAATGATGGATTATTTGTGATTTCTTTAAACTTATTACAGCAAACAAAGACATATATTGAAAATGGTCATATCTTTTAATATGAAGAATAAATTTTGTGAATTAAATAAATTATCAAATAATGTAAATTTCGTATTATCTTGACTGATTCCATGATTTATTAAAAAATATTTTTTCCTACTTTAAACAAATAAAATTTCATAAATTATTTTTGAAAGTGGCACAAATAAATAGTACATGTGTTGTGAAAAATAATATTACAAGAAATAATCATGACGTGTAAATGATGAATTCTAACAAAGACTAAACCTTATCACATGATTTCATTGACTACTGAATTATAAACCTTATCACATGATTTCACTGACCCATAGTTCTGCATAGTTACATGTTTAGTAATAAAAATATTCTGATCCGTTGGGTATTTGCGGAAACGAAGTTTCCGCTTATACACATACGGCATTTTAGCCTTTTGCAATAACGATAATATTTCATTGAATTCAGGATAGAGTTAATACTTCATTATGTTTTTATATCCGTTATAATAAAAATGAAAAATAGCGCTCTAGTCCCGCAGCAATTAGTTTCGAAAAATTTACTTTTGAAGACAAAATTCAAGCTCTGATTATAACCAATGACCTAGTAGTAAGATTTATTAATGAACAAAGAACTAGCCAGAATAGTCAGCGAACCTAAATTAAGCCTTAATTTTGCCCAAATTCATAAACCCTATGAAACTACCTTTTATATATAAGTTTGAGTTCGTTCTCCGACGGCAACTAGAGGCCGTCGGAAAATAAACTCACAAAGTTGAGTTAATTTCATAGTTATATCAATCGAATTTTTATTTTTTTTTTTAGTTGGTTCATCCGTCAAATTATTAATTTTATCATATGTATTATTTTAAATGGATTGAATTTTGTAACTCTGGTAAATATAATTTTAAAATATAAATTCAAGCAAAATTAATTCTGGGCATAACTCCAGGCAAGATCAAATTATGTATTCATGCAAAATTAGGTATAATTCCGGGCTATTGCAAAAGGCTTTGTTCGATGAATCATTTTTTGTAAATGTACTTTTCAAATAAGGGATATTTGACTTAATTTTGCCTGAAATTAAAGTTTGATTTTGCCTAGAATTATTGCCTAAGTATAATAAAAAATTGTAGATAGATTAATACAAATTACTATATCTAACGCAGTTTTGGATTCTTTTTTTTTTCACATTACGTACGTATTGTTGTATTGTTAGACATACAACTTTATTTGTCAATGCTATTAAATTCTTATACAGGTATTTCCACATCCAATTTTGTCCCTTGTAAATTACTATTGCTATGAAATTATACAATACCATGATGAGCAAATTACTGAATAAAAACTGAGCAAAACTTCGTTAAAAATTTATTATATTTGGACGCTTGATATAGTTTTTTCGGCGCTATCATTTTTTAAATATTTAATTTCATGTAGTTTATCTTTATATTTAAATATATATCAGTAATTACATTGCTGCAGCATTCTCATTGTTAAGTATTTTATTTTACCAAATTTTCAGAAAATGAGCAAAAAGCAGTTGATAACCACATTAATGTTATTCAATATTTCTCTAAACCAATTATTTTATATTATTAATACAAATATTTGTTATATCACACGAATTCACTGACCCATGGGTCTGTAGAGTCACATGTTTATAAATCTAATATTTTAACCTTTTGCAATAAAATCTCATTGAATTCGGGAGTCTTATGATAAGCATTGTCATCATTTAAGAGATCTTTGAGAAATCGATCATATTTAGTATTTTCAGTTCTCATTAAATATCTTGAAGTGAGACCAGATTCAGCAAGGATATTTGCTAGGCAATGAGTTATATGAAACAATTTAATTATCCTCCAGATGCCAATCTAGTATCTTAATTCTTGCCTTATTTCTATGTTTAATATCGATTTCATTATATATGCTTGCATAAAGTTTTATGACTAAATAATTTAAAATAATTTAAGAATTGCTTTAATAAATGATTAAACATAATTATGTTAAAATATATATAAACTTTTTATCAAAAAAGACTAATTGAATCAATATTATATTTTCTATTCTTGTATTCTTTTTATTATTTTTTTCAGTATTTTTGATGATTAAAATTCAATTCAATATTTTTTTTTTACAATTAAGTCAATTAGTTCTAAAATTGAAAAGATTTATAGATAGGGCTTGTAAATTTTTAAATCATATCTTTACCTGGATAAACAAGTATTATTAAAATAATACCATACAGTATTATCAAGGTTCTTATTTGCATACAATATCGGGATGTTTCTATTATCTGGTAAAAAACTTTTAGCAAGGTATAAATTATTTTCATCATTTGGCAAAAAACTTTTAGATTATTTTCATCAAAAGAGCTAAAAAAAAAGTATAAATAAGATGAAAGTTGTCAAATTGATTAAAATTGTTAAATATTATTGAATCCAAAATGTAAAATATAAGTTCATC